TATTATGCTATCCTATGATGGTTGGGCTTCCAATGATCATGGTAGGAAGGTGCTTGGCATGGCGAACCTTGGGTTTGCTTGCTCTTGGGTCCACTTCGTCCTTGGGCTGCTTGCTGATTTTGGTTTGGTGTGGTGGTTGCTCTCGGGTATGGCCTTGGTTGCTTGGTATGGAGCTAAAAAATTGTGGGATTCTACTTGGTGTTAGCTCATAAATGCTTGAGCTGAAGTTTAGCTCAATGATTGGAGATTAATTGCACTTCCTAGCTCATTAATTCAAAAAGGTATGATAATATTTCTTGGATTCATTTTGGAGTGGACTTGCCTCTTCTCGGTTTCCTGTGCTGGCTGGTTTTCCCGTGCCCGGCCCCTATGTTTCCTGTGCTGGCTGGTTTTCCCGTGCCTGGCCCCTTTGTTTCCTGTGCTGGCTGAAGTTCCCGTGCCCTGGTGCTTGGCCTCCTATGTTGGTTTTTCAGGTCTCCTACTGGTTGTTTTCCCGTGGCATTTAGGGGGGAATTTCCGTGGTTTTCACCCTGTTTTCTATGCAGTTTTTTTTGTTGCAGTCTTTGGTGTCTTTTAACATTCTACTTGGTGACTTTTGGCCTTTCATTTCCCCAATTCCTATTGGCTTTGGTTGGAGGTGATATGGCTACTTGTCTACCTTCTTTTGCCTATAAAAGAGAGTTGTTTTGGCATGAAAAAGGTTGTTGATGATTGTGAGTAAAAACTCTACAAAAACCTAAGGATTTGACGCGGACATCGGTACGAAGATTTGGCGCATCTATCACAGGAGGCGTCGTAAATCGACGTCTATAATCTAAATCTTCAATTATGAGTTATTTTTTTCTGAATTTTAGTTTTTATTTGATGTATTTCCTGTTTTACCCCTAGGATAGTTTATGTGAGTGTTGTGGCCCAAGGGGCAATTTTGTATTTTGAGTTTTCTTATGTCGTGGCCTATATATAGGGTCTTAAGCTATTGTAATAGGGAGGGATTATTGATATTAAAAAATTTGTGTTCAACACTTGTGTTCTTATGAAGAGGACGATAGTGAGATTCCTATGGGAAGGAATCGGAGTTTCACCAGCCGCAGGATGGGTCCGGGCTCGTGACTGGAAGTCCCTTGGAGAAGGGCAAATCATCACCCGTCAATCTTTGGAAGAGTCCAAGGCTCGCAGTTTTTATCTTCTATCGTTTGATTCTATTTTTGTTTTTGTTTTCTTCCTTCTTATCGCTCCCCGTAGTCATTTTCATATTCTTCCTCCTCCCCTCTCCACCTCACGGCTAATCCCCCATATCCAAACCCATGCCGCCGGCTCCACCTCAGTAGCCGCCGGCCTCACCTTTACCTCCTCCTTGAGTTTCCTAATTTGGGGTGCATGATATTAGGACTTAATTTGAAATTCAAATTGTTTAAAATTTAAAATTCAAATTTCTTTCCTAATTTAGTTCACCTATTTTGAAAAGTGCTTAATTGAAATCAATTTGAATTTTAAATTTAAATTGGATTAGATTATTTACTTTCCTAATTCTTTAAAACAAATTAAGAAGCCTTAAATGCTCTCATTAAATCCACCCATAACCCTTTATACCACCGGCCCCTATAGAGGAAGTTTTGGAATTATTTCCTAATTCCTTCTTAGCCTCACTTGGAATTTTCTTCAGATTTCAGCCACCTCTATTAGCCGACATTAAATTAGTTTATTGCTTAATTAATTTCCCAAATAAAGCCCATTCAAATTGGAATTAATTGGAGCACCTCCATATCCCGCCACCCCCCTTCCCCGTATTGCTGGACGTTTGAAATCTCTCCATAAATGTAGCAGTTCACTTTGGAAATATTCTCCAATCCTTCCTGCTGCTGGCCGAACTCCCCCATGCCCCTTTTCTTGGTTTTTCTCTCCAAACTCCCTCCCCTCTACACATCAAAACCTGAAACTTATTTCAGGTTTTGAGTTGGGCTCTTTTTCCCTACAAGATTGCACAAGAGAACTTTTTCCTCCCACGTTAACAACGTGGAGTTGGAAATTATTCTCAGATTTCCTCTCCTCCTTTATATCACGTTGCTTGTTTTCCTTAATTCTTGCTGCTAAGTCTTCCCCCCCAACCACACACTGAGAGTGGAGTTCCTCTCAGATTTCTGAGAGAAGAAAAATCTGGAATATTTCATATTTCTTTAAAGAATTATTCAGCTTTTGTGGAAGGACTTGGAGTTAAGTTCATCTTCACATATAAGAGAAAGAAGTTTGGAGCCTGCTTCCCCTCCTCTCTTAAGAGAAAATCAGAGACTCTTCTCAGGTTTTGGGCAAAGAAATCAGAACTTGCTGTCAAATTTTGGAGAAGAGATCCTCTCCCTAGCAAAGCCTCCCACCCGTTCTACATCAGGGTTTCTTCTTGGAAAAGCTTGAGAGCTTGTTCCATCCCCTTCTTCTCTTCTTTATTTCGTCTTGGCTTCTAACCCCTTCTTCTCTACGCAAGTTCCACTCTACTTGTATCCTTCTTCTTGAGCTTTGGAAGTGTATGTTGGCTGAAGTTTGGAGACATTTGTCGGAGGAGTTTGGAAAGGACGTTGGACTCTTTTGCAGTGGTGGGCCCTTGGTTTGCAAGCCTGAGCACAATTTTCTTAAAATTCCTACTTTCGTTGCATGTGAGGAGACCGCTAGACAGTTTTACTGAGGATAGCGTTTTTTATATTTTTATTTTGTTTTCTTCGATTTGGCTTTTGTTTATCTTAAGTTTGTTTGGATGTTTGCAAGCTTTATATGAATCAAGTTTGGTTTAAGTCTTGTCCTGGTGTTTTCTAATTTGTCTCTCTTTTCTAGTTTTGCTTGCATCACAGCTCCAGTGGAATGAGATGAGGATATTGCACGAGTTCATTTTGTGATGTCTTGTCGCATACCTCAAACATATCATCTAAGTCAATGTTAACCTAGATTTGACGGAGAAATTAATGGATAAAACTCTTCAATTGAAATATCAAAGATTTCATTATTCAACTGATGGATGATGGATCCTTAACATAAGTGAAAGGAAGAAATTAGCTTGTCAATTACCTTTTATGCTTCAGTGATTTTTTCCAACTTTTCTCTCATTTCATGTGTTTTCCTCAGTGCCTCCCACTAAGGAAGATGCATGTCTATTAAAGTTTAATGGCACTTATTTAGCTTTTCTATGTGGTAAATATTTGTATTAAAAAAATGATATAGACAGAGTTTATCTATTCAATGAATTATGCAACACATGCTTATAGAAAACTTGAGCAAGTTTGATTAGGTTTTTGGCCCTACAAGATCGATGGTAGCTTCTATAATAATTGATTCCTAGAAAAAAGATTATTCAAAAGAACAATCCATGAGGATTGAATCATAATAGTTCAAGGACGTTAAAGATATTATGTCCATCAAATTTTGAGGGTGCGTATTCATTTTATTGGGTATATATTTATTTTTTAAAATTGAGATAGATATTTCCATCTAATAAATGAATTATTCAGTGTAGGCTTTCAGGAACTCAAGAAGGTTTACATTTGTCTTTGCACTCGCAAGATTGATGCTAAGCTTTTACGTTAATTTGACTGCCCCAAAAAGGATTACTCAAAAGAAAAATACATGAAGATTGAATTGGAATAGTTCAAAGGAACTTCAAGATGGCAATAGTCCAAGTCCTATTTTACAAGAAAAAATTTCCCTCACATATGGACCTATAGTCTAAGAAGATCAAGCCAAGATAGATCAAGGGGCATAACGAGGCACTTAGATCAAAAAGCATAGCACAAAAAGGGTGTTACATCAAACCCAGCTTAATATACCCCAGAGCTAATATAATCCCAAAATGCTATTTGGGGATAACCAAAATAAGTAATCCCTAAGAGCTCATTTGATTGCTCAAAGTTGGAAGCATGCTAATTTTTCTAGGATTTTCACTTGATTCAATATAATTAAAAATCAATATGGATTATAAACTTGACAAACAGCTTCAAACACCCTTAAAAGTCAGGATTTTGTTTTCACACATGAAATAAGTGAAAATAAATTCATCACTTCCTAAAACATATCTCTCATCTACAAGCAACCAAAATAGGCCTAAATGTAATTCTATTGAATAGGTAACAATCTACAATGAAGAAGTTATTAACCAAAGCATAAAGTGCTTCAAAAATCACATAAAAGGTTCTAAGCATAATGCTTCACTAGAATTATCATAATTATTCTCTACAATTCTCAACCCTTGAATCAATCGAAATCTCTTATTAGGGATTTTAAATTTGAACCATACCTATCTCCAAAAACATTGTCGGTGTACTGACTACGGGTCCATGATGAGTTGCCTCTAAGGTTACCTGCAAAAGGTATTAAAAAAAACTCTAATTAATTAATAAAAACTGATCAGAAAGCAAATTTAGAAAGAGGACGGCGGCTAAGAAGCCCACCAACCTCAAATTCTGGAACCAGGCACTGGTCAATAGCAATCTTTCTCAGCAGTCTGAACCAGGGGCCGACTCTCGGATTGGGTGGGGCTGCCCATGCCGGTCGCCCACCTTGGGGAGGGGTATCTCCAATTCTCAGATGTGGCACACCTGACAACAAAACACATTATAATATAATTTATTTTATTCATAATTTAACAGAATATGGTTTCAACAAATTCTCCCAAATTTATCTTCGATTATAATTTTTTTTATATACAAATAAAATAAAAATGATATCAACAAGTTACCAAATAAGAACGACAATAAAAATACCAAGTGACAACAAAGATCGAATCTAACCGATAGGATGAACGGTTAAAGCGGGGCGGTTGGAGACAGCCGTGTGGCGGCTGAGGAAAATAACCTCAGAGACAGACTCGCCTGTCGCTTCCTGCCATCGGCGATCCAGGTCATCTTCCGCCACGATGCTTCTCTCGTGCTTCAACAGCCTCGTCTCGCCATTGGCGTAGCTTGCAATTTTCTCCTGCGATAGGAAAAAATAAAAAACGAAATCCCTACCTCAGCAATGGTTTGTCGTAGAGCCTAATATTATGAAATGGAGTAAATCAAGCCCACGAACATCAATGAAGGGGCCTGGCGTCCAGCCAGGCATAGCAAGGAAAGCAGAGGCTGGGCCGATGGAGGCCGGATCTGCGGTTGTCGCCACCACCAGGATCACCATTTTTCCAAAAACCGTGAAGAATGTTGGCTTGGTACGTCAACCTCGACACAGGTTTATGGGAATTTTTAGATTTTACACAACTCTCTTGGCCAACTAAGAGGTCTAAGGTTCGAGTCCATGTGTATGCGTTGTGTATGTGAGTTTGACTTAAATGACCTAAACGTCCCAAAAAAAAAGAATTTTTAGATTTTTGTTCTTTTTAATTAGGATATCAAAACCTTCACGGGACTTCAATAAATTTATGAATAAAAATTTAAAAATTTAAAAATTTTATATTTATTTATATAATATTTTAATTTTTTAAGTTTATTTAAATTATTAGTAACATTAATTTATCTAAAATAAAATATATATTTACTGCTTTTTTATTTAAAACTTTGTGAGTTTTATTCATCAATAAAAAAATAAATATTAAAATATAAGTATATAATAATTTTATGACACCCTCTTATGGGAACTTTTATTTGGTTCGGTTGACCGGATGCAAGAAGCATCCGGTGGTAGGCAAAAAAAAGGCGGTACCGAGGTGTACCGAGTTTTTCAAAAAACTCGGTACACCTCGGTACCGAGTTTTTTTTTGCCTACGACCGGATGCTTCTCTGCATCCGGTCGGAGGACGTAATAATTGTTGCATTTTAAGAAAAATATTTGCCTAATTTATTTTAAAGATGATTATTAATTTGTTAAAATTTATATTTTATAGAAAAAATTGCATGTTATGGGCCTATCACAAGTCATCTAAATATTAGATAAACACAAAGTATTAATATTAAAAAATTATAAATGAACTTTAGAAGTAAAAAAAAATAGTGTATTTTGATGACTATGAAGAATAAAGAATATGTCGATGATCAAATAAAATATAAAAAGAAATTGAGATCTTAAATTCATGTTCACTCTTATATATATATATATATATATATATATATATGAACCTTTTTTTTTAATTCATTATTCTATGCCTACAAAACTTTCCTAAATTAAGAGAACAAAAAAAAACAAAATGGGGCCATCAAATGCATTCTGAAGTAAAATGATGGCCTAAATAAATCTTCCTTATGCTAAATGACTAAGGGGGTTGTGGCTTGTCATAGCAACTAAGTGTGTGCAGAAGTCTTTAGGTAGTAAGGGTTAACTCATATTACTATAACTAGTTGCCAAGATCCAATCAAGTTAAGACTTATCACTTTAAGTAGTAAACTTAAATTTTAAAATAGATTTTAAAGGGGTCTATAGAGTATGAAAATAAATAGATATTTTCTATGCATTTTCATGAGACATGAATTTAAATAACTTTAAAATGTTTTTGGCCTTATGTAGGGCCTAGAGTATCGAAATTAACTTTAAAATTAATGAAGGTGCATGCCTTGGTCATTTGTATTTCTAAAAAGTCATATAAAGTTTATTTATGATAACATTAGATGCACATATATGTGTGGAAATAAATGTCATGCGGCTTCAGACTGCTCTCCTATTTGAGATTAAATATGACATCAAGAATAATATATTGTCTCGAAAGATATACGTGATGGTATACCGTAGTTTCAATGACAAAATAAGATTTTTTAAAAAAAAATCTAAAATCAAACAAAATTTAAAGAATAATATATCATCTCGAAAGATGAATATAAAATTCTACAAGAAATATTTGAAAAGATAAATGGGTTTTAAAAAAAAATTGATCATTCTTACAATCAAATGCAACAAAAAGAATAGTATATCATCTCAAGAGAAGAACATAGCATTTTATAAGAGATTCGAAAGTAGGAATGGGTTTTGGAAAATAGGTCACTTCTAAAAATCAAATACAGTAAGGAGAATATCGTATTATCTAGGGAGACAATAACGACATTCTACAAAGGCATTTGAGAATATAAATGGGTTTGGAAAGAAGATTTACATTTTCATAGATTCTCCCTATTTTATAGGAAAAAAATAAGGTTTATTTTAATCTAAAGTTCTCAATTCCCTATAAGGGCAAGCCCCTATGATTAATTACATCCTAAGAGGGGTACTCCTAAGCTTATAGGCAACCCCAACCTATCCTATGTTGGGATTTATAATCTAAAATAAAATTTATTATCTAAGTCAATGTTTTATTGAAAATGTTGGATTATATTCCTAGAGAGTGAGTACTTAACGATTTTTTGACAGCCTCATAATCTTGAACTTAGGTGAGCCAATACATGATAGTAATTCAAACCTAGTATAATGATATGTAGGATAATGAAATGAGACTTGTATCTTTGACTTTTTATAATAGAGTTTTGGGAATGTGTGACTCTTTTGGACTATACTCCAGCTTGGAAAGGGATTGGCATCTACAACTCCTAGTCGCTTTAAAATCATGAATCAAGTCAATATGATAGATAGGTAAGCTATTATTTATTTAAAAAGGATATTGTCATCTAAAATAGAATGTTAAATAGTCCCAAACCATGAATAGCAGGTTGTATTTATAAACTAATGAAATTTAAATTATATTTTTAAATTAATTTCTAATGCAATTCATCTTAATTAACTCTTATGCAATAAATTAGAATGCGATGTTTTAAAAAGACCTAAAAATAGACTTTATCCTAAAAGAGTATAACTCCCATGAGTCAGAATTGCACCCTTATAAGTCTGGTGGTATGCTTCTACCTACATAAAGAGAGGTGCCTAAGAAAGAAAGAAAAAAGGATATGGTTTATGCAACTCCAGACGAGCTAAGTCGGTTATCTTACTATGGTATCCAAAATTTTTATTGGTTACGAATATAAAATATTTTTATTTCCTAAAAGACTATGTGAAATCCAGGCAAAAACCACATGCATAAATAAACCTAAAAAAACATGGGTGACTAGTGCACAAGCAATATAAACAAACAATTAATCAACCACCAAAGCAAAGCAAAAGTAAGAAAGTCTGTCCCATGTGGTAAGTGTCAATTAATACAATTTCGGGTTTGCAAAAAGTAAAAGTGGACAGACTCTACCGACAACAACTTGAATTTTTTAGCTTATAAATGATGAAAGTACTTTTATGAAGTAATTAATTGATTTGTTTATGGTTTTCAAGTCTTTTATCGCTGGTCATCTTACAGAAAGCCTCTAAAAGAAAGAAATCTCCTAAGCAAAAAAGAGATCTCTTTGTTTTTTATTCCTTTATGCAAGGATAAACAAACCAATTTCAAAGACTTTCAAAACCCTTTATATTCAAATTACAATTTAAAAAAAAAAAAAAAAAGAACTCTAAACTCCTTGCATGGTTAGTATAAAAAATTTATTTATAACCATCACACAATCCATATAATGTCATTTGCTCATTTTTTTGGCAACCTATAAATTGGGGGTGAAAGTAATGTAAGCACCTGCACAAATTTTGTTAATTTAAAATTTAATTATAATTTAGCCTCTATATAGCCCTGCATAAACATGATTATCTGCATAAGATTGGGTTAACAAATATGAATATATAGCTTGTTTCTAACCTAGGTGTAACCTAAACGACCTAGAGTTAGTTGTCCTAACAAAATAATTTTAAGTGAATGACAAGCTGTGTAAGTGTCACCCTATTTGGTTTTAGATATTATTATTGTTATTATTTTAATATTCAGACGTGGTTACAAATTAAGTTTTAATTTTTGTATATTTTTATTTGAGCTTTTAATGATTCCATGAGAAAGAATTTTATTTTTGTTCTAAATTTATTTCATTAAATGTAGATTTTTGTCTAATGTTGTTTAGGAGTTCATAAGAGTATATATATATATATATATATTATCTATGATTTTATAGATTTATATAAATTTATTAAGAATTTTTCTGATTTTTCTTGAATTTTTAATGAAGTTTCTAATATTCAAGTTATAAATTACTTTATCTTTTTTTTTTCATTATTCTTTTCCTTTTTACTTTCTCTCTCCTATATTATTATTATTATTTTTTTAAACATGCTTGGTCTTTTTAGTTATTTAATTTAGGAATTAATTTTAAATTTAATTAAATTATTTTGAATTTATTTTTTGTTCATTTTTATTCATTTTAAATTAGTTTAATTTTAATTAGTCTTCTAATAATTTATTTAATTTTGATCATGCTGTATTAATTCAAGTGTTTGTTTTATTTTGATTCACTTAATTCTTGTATTCCAATTTGATTTTAGGAATGATTTATTTATATTTATTTTTTTATTTAATTTAAATTTTATATTCAATTTATGCATTTCTTTGTATTGTGGATATAATTTGAATATAATTAATATATAGCTATAACTTTTATTTAATTTGCATAAGAAAAATTTATTCATTATTTGAGTTAAGTGTTGGTTTATCTGTATTTTATGATTATTAGAATTACAGTTAGAATTACAGTTTGAGTTAAGGCTTCACACGGGCAGAGCCATCGTGTGCGGGCAGGAGATTCACGTGTGGGCGTGAACGGGGCTGGTGAGTTCATGCATGCGGGCAGGGCTCACAGGCTAGCAGGCTGTGGGCCAAAAAGTGCTTCATGTTGGTAAGCAGGTAGGCAATCAGGCATGCATGGGAGATGGAAATGAAATGACTATATTAATCAAGCAAATTTGATTAAATTTGAGTTTGGAATGGCTCATCAATCGAGTCAATCAAATTAATGTTGATTTAATTTAGTTTTCTTCAAGAAAGCGAGATTTCAATTTGGTTAATGTTTGTTTAATTGAATCAGATTTGATTATTATGGATTTGATTTTTATTTAGGTGTATTTTGGTTTGGATTGAGCCAATTTGGTCTAATTAACACCAATTTGATTCAAATTAACTTGAGATAGGTTAATCAGTGTGTTGACCTCATTTTTGTATGATGCCACTTTGACCCCTTCCTGGACTCTAGACCCTAGGATCCTTCTAGACTCCAAACCCTAGGATCAATTTAGATCTTAGATCACTCCAGACCAAAATCCATGGCTAAGGGCCTAGGTCCTGAAAGCCTTTCCTAGTATTTCTTCAAACACCTCAAAACACAGTCAATTGATCCCTGATTTAGAGTCTATCAATTACATGTTGATAAGACATGTCTATGGGGCCAGTCCTTCAAGTTTG